TAGTCTTCTTGATCTTTTAATTTTTTTTTTTGCTTATATAGTATATTTTCACAATTTGATTTTATTATTTTACAATAATATAGGTGATAAAATTACTTCTATATATTAAAAAAAAATATATTTCTAATATAATTTTTGTGAAATATTTTAATATACAAGTTTTGTAATTAAATAAAAAGTAGTTTTTTTTATATATACAATTAATTATTAAATATGATCTAAAATTTTTAAATCTTATTTTAAAAATAGTTTAAAATTAAAATACTTAAGTTTAAGTTAACATTTTAATTTTATGTTAATTTATAATTAATTATAATTGGATCATCTTAAATAGTAGTCAATTAAGGAAAAACTTTATTATACTTCTATAAATAAAGAAATTTATATCAAAAAAATTGTGAGTTTAAAAATTATTTCTAAAAGTTTATAGTTTATTTTACATAATTTTTATATATAAGTTTTTAAGTATTCTTTTATATATTAGTTTATGTAAATAATTTCATATTAATATTATAAATAGTATTATGATAATACTTTATTGATTAAATATTATGTAGTTTTAGAAGATAAAATTAGTCAGCCAATTCTTTCTAAAGTTAATCCTGATTAAATCTTAATTAAAAAACAAAAATATTCTCTACAATATTATGAAAATTTAAAGTAAAAGGTTAATATTAAACACCTACTAATAAAAAATAAAAATACTATTAGTAAGAACCAAAAAGCTAATGTTAGTAATATAATCGATTTGATAAGTTAACAAATATTTATACTTTATATCAAAAAGAATGAGAAAATTTACAATTATTTTTAAATATTCTTGAAGAAAAATCAAAAATTTCTAAAGTATCTACATCTTTAAAAAAAAATAATTAATTACCTTTCTTAAGTAAAATAATGATTTATTTGTAGATGACTGGAATATACAATATTAACACATATTATATTTTTTTTAGAAACAAATATATTTATATATCAAAAAGCATATTAAATTGCTTCTCTTAAACAAGATTTTATCAAAGAAAAAATTGACAAAATATTGAGAAACAAGTTAATATAATCTTTAAAAAGTTCCTAAACTTCTTTTATAGTTTTAATCAGAAAAAAATGATAAGGTAAAATTTTGTGTTAATTATTAAAAACTTAATAATATGACTTAATGATACTATTATCTTCTTTCATGCATTAATAAACTTTTGAATATATTCAGTAAGGTTAAATATTTTACAATACTTAATTTAGCTAATGAATACTGACAAGTCATCATGATATCTAAGAATTAACAAAAAACTGCATTCATTACTAGTCATAGGCTATATATATTCATTATTATACCTTTTGTTTGACTAATATGTTGGTAACATTCTAAAGGTTCATAAATAAAGTCTTTAAAAAATAAATTGAAAATATGTAGCTGTTTATTTAGATGATATAAATCATCTTATCAATTACATTTAAAAAATATTTATTGACTATCTCCAAAACATTTTTTAATAGTGTTAGTAATAATTCATTTACGTTACTAAATGACTGTGCTAGTTAATTTCATCAATAATCACTAAGAAAATCATAATCATCATTTTCACTAATTTCACTGCTATCATAGTTATCATTATAATATTTATTTTTTTTATTATTACATTTATCATTATTTTATTTATTATATTTATTTTCATAATTATATTTACTTTTATTATTATATTTATTATTTCTTTCTTATAATTGTATTTTATATAAATAACCAATATTGTCACCTTGACTAACTAACAAGTTTCTATCATATAATTAATAAAGTATAATCTTAATAACATAAAACTATATCTTTGGCAATATCTATTTCCTTACAATATAAATCATCAATAAAGATGATCTGATCCTTCAACTTAAATAAATTTGTATTTATTTCTTTTATAGTTTATAACTTAAACTCCCTGTTAGCAAATAAGCTTTGTTATCCTAATGACGTAATATTTAGACTTAATAATAGTTAAGAAAGCTGAACTAAAGTTAGAACATAACAAATGTAAATTTAGAAAACTTAAACTTGCTTTTTTAAGATAAATTATAAAAAGACAAGGAATAATTCTAAATCTTCAAAAATTGAAAAGATTTGAGATTTTCCAATATTTTTTAATATTACTGAATTTATGAATTTTTAGAAATCATTTTATACTATTGTTAATTTATACAAAACTTTTTAACTATCACTACATTTATACATCTTTTACTTAAAAAGAAAGCATTATATTTGTAGATTAAAACCTAATAGCAAGCATTCAAATATTAAAAAAATGTTTCATTATAGCTTTTATTCTTATTTATCCTGATTTTACAAGAAAATTACCAATGAGTCATATATAAAATTAGGTGTTATTCTAATTTAATTTGACAAAAATATGTAATACATATATAAGTCAAACTCTTAATAATGTCAAAAAAAATTATACTTCTACTGAATTTGAATGTCTTACTAGTATTTGGATCATAAAATATTTTAGAATATAATCCTTTCATCAATCTTTTGATTTGATTACTGATCATGCTATATTACAATGGTTATTTAATAAACTGAATCTACTATATAAATCTTCAAAATCCTACAAACCCTTTTTTTATTATTTAATCTACTGAAGTCAAATTTCTTTTATACAAGATTCATAATGAACCTTTGAAAAGATATTTAGGATGTAATATTATATTTAACAAATTAGTATATAAGTATTATTGGCTAAAGATGTATAATACAATAAAGGAATGAATAGAAATATGTGATGTATGTTAATGACAAGAAATAAATATCTTAATGGCAAGAACCTTTACATCTAATATTAATTGAATAACTATTTGGTCAGATTAGAATTAACTATATAAGATCACCACTACAAATAAAGTAAAGTAACAAATATATTATTATTACTATAGAATATTTTATCAAATGAGTTAAAGTTACTACTATTACTAATTATATATAATACAATTCATTTATCAAGAAATTGTGTATAGATATAAAACTTTAAAAAAAATATTAACTGATAAGTTATGTTATTTTAAAATAAATTAATAACAGCATTATTATATATTATTAAAATAAAATATCATTTTTCCTCACTCTATCACTTACAAATAAATGGATTAATTAAACATTTCAATCAGACATTATATATTATTTTGATTAAATATCTGAATAATATCAAAAAAAATAGGATATTTATCTTTCCTTAACCTTATTTATATATTGCATAGCATAATAAATATAACTAAGTATGAACCTCTTAAATTTTTATATGGATAACATACTATACTACTTATAGATCTTTAAATATCATAATATATTATGATACAAAATTTACCATAAACTAGAAAATAATATCATTATATTTTAATAATACAATTGTAACAATAATAACATGATATACAATAGAAAATTTTGCAATAATAGCAAAAGTAGAAAGAATGTTGTAACCAAATACATAAAAATATAGATTATCAAATTGAAGATAAAGTATTATTATTTAATATTTTACGATCATATATATATATAAAAATTCAAGAGAAAATTTGATATACAATCTAATATATATAAATTATAAATGAATTAAAAAATTTTACACATGCTAATCAACTTAAACCTTATCTTGAAAAGACTAATTAGGAACTTTAGATTATTATTATAGATCAATAAATCTAGTATTATAAATATAAAATCTAAAACTAAGCTTATAAGAAAATGATAAATATCATTATTGATAATCTTATTTTACAAGAATTATAAAGGATATTAATTCAGAACTTAACTCTTAAATCATCAAAACCTTGAATATGCCTTATACTAAAAAAGTTAAACACACATATTAAATCCTTTTAAAAGTCTAAACACTTTTTCGGGTGATTTGTCCATCAAATCTGTGCAAAATTGTTGAAGCTCCAATAAAGAATTCAATTGAAAGCTCATCCTACAGATGAACTCAAAATGTTTCTCCATCCATTCTGATTTGTTTTCAATTAAATACTTTTGCAAGTATTCAACTAATTCCTGAAGGAAAAGTTCATTGGAAGTGATCAAAACTTTCAAAATATCCAAGGGTTCATATTCATTTAATGAAATGATCCCACCATAAATATATCTATTTGAAGTATAAGATAAAATAACAAATGTTTGTCTTTTTTTTAAAAAAACATAACGTACTTTAAAATACTTTGAAAGATTTCTGGTAAAATATTTGGCAGTTTAATGAGTTAGGGTATCGTCAGTATCTTTTTTATTGGCCAAAATTCGTCGTAAAAATGGAGAACGGTAATACAGAATAATCTTGTGCACGCAGAAATTTTTCACGTTTTTTTCTTTTCCAACTTCGATTGTAATGTCATAATATTCACCATCTTCTAAAATTTCAATATAATTTTGACTTAATTAGAAAAAAATTGTGCTGACATTTATATATATTCAATGAAAAAGTTAATTTCAAAAGAAATGAAGAATGAAAGAAAAGGAAATCGCAAAAAAAAAAAAGTTATTTATATTGATAAAATTTCAAAAAAAAATTCTCTCAGATCAGATAAACATTCACATTCTCCTTTCTAAACTTAGTGATCTGAACGTTGAATAAAATAAAGCGTTATTCTTAAACTTAGATCATGCACTATATCACTTATATTATACCACCTCAGCAGATACACGGGCTCAATGCAACCCTCGCTACTGTAAAAAATCAAAATGAGCACATCGCCCGCCATCACATTGGTGATGAAATACGAGAATCGTAAACAAGGGGATCATGAGCCATAATCTGTTCCTCAGATCAATAATCACCTGTTTCCTCATTGTGAAATTTCCACACTTCATCAAATGGTAAGATAAAAGCATTCAAAAGATCAGCTAACTCTTTTTTGACAATGAGACCAAGAAATGTGAAGAAGTCTAATCCAAAATGTGCAAAAGAGTGTTGTTGTTCTTCAATTTTTTAACGCTTAGACTTGCGAATTAGTGGAACCTCTCTGAGTTATCCTTGAAAGCCGAGTTGCCAATACAAAGTGATGTATTTCTCTTCATGATGTTTGAGATCTGATTTTCGAAAGACAAAACGCGACTTTAGTTTGGATGTACCAGATTCCGGATAGCTCTGGTCTGCACTCTGATTGTTTGATGCATAATTCTTCACTTGAATGAGGATATAGGAATATCTGTCTTCTGATAATTTTACAGGGATCATAATGTCCACGCCAGGGTTATTTCGCTTGAGAATCACAGCATATCGTCGTCAATAATATTCCTTTAAGGAACATTTTTCAGGAACATATACTATGGGAATAAAGTGTGTAAAAGCCACAGTTGCATCCACAAAGGATTGTAGCTCATCGATAGCTGCTGGATCCAGTAGTTCTATTAATTGTTTGACCGTAATGCCAGATGATTTCCAATCTTCATTTTCCTGTATAAACTTACCGCAAGAATCAGGATGATTTGTGCTACCACTTCTCCACGAGCGTCTGCATTCACAAAACCTTTTCTCAGCATCTCATTAAAATTTTGCAGAATGCTAATCAATATTTTCTCATCAGAAATAGTAGTGAACGCTGCTTCTGCTAGCAAAGGTTCTGAGGGATAACGAACTAACAAGCGCTCCTGTCCTTTGATACTGCAGCATATGTTGCCATATAGGATCCCACAAGTTCAGAAGCAATCTTCGATTGTGGTGAAATATCCAGGCAAATAAGTACTGATAAAATGGCGATACTGGATAGATCCTTTTTGTGGCTATCATCGAAAGATCTTGCTCTGCCAAAGAGTTTATTCTGCAATAGTGTGACAAGTCTTTTGAGAGCTGTTTGAGTCGAAGAACTTTTCCCTTTGACTTTAAGATAGCTATATATTAATGGTCTTCCTAGCTTTGCTAACTGAACAATCTGGTCTTCTTCAGATGTTCCTGCTGGACCTCCCATCATTTTTTCAAAGATATCCATTGTTGTAAGTCTAACAAAAGGATGAAACAAAAGTAATTGTGCTTCGTCATCTCTCAAAGACGGGTCCTCTGACAAGGATGATGCAAAGTTCGAGATTTTACTGAACGTATCTAAAAAGATGGCAAAGAAGCCATTCCATGCGATATGTTTCATAGCTCTTCTAAGTATTCGAAATGGAGTTCTGTTTCTGTCTGGTACATGATGAGTAAAATATTGAGCTTCATCAATATATAAGATAATCTTGACTCGGTTATTGGAATTGTATGCATCATAGAACGGGAATTTCCCCTTGGAGAGGTTCGCATCATTTTCTTCAATTGTAAGCCACTTTTCACTGGCTGTTGAGACCTCTGACCAGAACTTAAGGCACCATTTGTTATTCAGTTGTTGTTTCCAGAGGTCTATAGCTGATTTGGTAAGGGAATATTCATGCAACTTTTTGATAATATGCCAAATAATGAACATAAAGCGCCATTCTTGTCCATTTAGAACGTCATTCAGACGATTGAATATCTCTGATGCGATAGGCGTAACAGGCGGGTATTCTGTACTTTCCTTAGGGCGTAAGCACACGTATAACGTAGGAATTTTTGTTGTAAGCTGTTCAATGAGGCGAGTTTTTCCGTAACCAGAACTCTGAAAAACCATTCTGTAAGGTACGCGATTTATCTTATTGCTAAGCCAATATGCATGCTTCTTATCGATGTAGTTCTGAAATCGTTCGACTATGTTTAATGGATTCTGATATGGTATCCTAAAAGCCTCTGCGACAGCTAGTTCTGGCTGGGGAATCACAGTTGCAGGGCATTCTTTATCTTAAGAAATAAAAGAATAAGAGAGTGGTAAGAGACGAAACGAGAACGAGGAAAGCATTAGTAATAGTTTGAAATGTTATATACAGATAAATTTTTAAAAAAATACAATTGTTTGGTCAATTTTAATCGTCGTTATAAATGTGTCGTATGATAGGATAACATTCTCTATGCTTACTATACTCTCCTCCTAACGCATGTTACAATAGCATTCAAAATATTCGTCCCTACCACGTTGCTGCGCCTATTTAACAGCATTAGAACGATTCTCTCTCCATTGCTCCTACCCTACTTAACCCAAACGCATCATATCTTGCTTATTTGCCTTTTAAACGAGTTTATGTATAACCTAACCTTTGCTACGACTCTGCTCTATGTCCCAACCCAACGCATGTAGTAATGCTTTTCAACTATCTCTCTATATAACCTAGCTCTGCTATGTTTCAGCTCTGCCCCAACTAATAACAATCCAACTGCCTCTCTTACAAATAGCACAAACCCAGTAACGGTATTCAAACTCTTCTCCCCGTTGCTCCTCTATTCTCTCAATAAACGTGTTACTTATCTCGTTTACCAAGCGTTTGGAGAAATTCTTCATAATAATCTGTGGCTGTTCCAGGGTAGTCACGATAGTGTTTGACGTAGAATTCTTTATATTCTTCGTATTTTGCTCTTCCTTCCTTGCCTGTTGCTTTTGGATAGTCTTTGTTGTATTTCATACTGAAATCCACTGGATCTAGTGAGTAGTCCATGGTTAGATGTTTTTCATATGTTTAGTGAAAGATAGTGATAAAAGCAAGCAGAGTCAGCCCTGTTTATACGTTTTACTTACACAAACATGTGATACTTCTCCGTATTGAAGCGCTGAATCAACTATAGTTATTACTCATAAATTGTGTCAGAGTTTAGTACTTGGAGTTTCTTTCTTGATTCGTCATGTGTTGGTGTTAATTTTCGTTTATGGTTTATTATTTTTCGTTCTTCTTGGTAAATTTTATAAATGATTTTTTCTTGATCTAGATATTCCTGGAGGGGTTGAGTATCATTGATTTTAAAAACATAGGAAGCAATCTTTTCTCCTTGAGCTTTTTTTAGAATGCTTCTAATGGTGTTATAATTCTTTAGTTCTATGGTAGATTTTAATGTAAATAAATTAGTTTCATATTAATATTTTTATAGGGATAGTCCTATATTCATCACATTATGATTTATATTTACCACATTCTAATAGGACCCCTGAATACATATATAATAACCTTGTCATACACTTAGGCTAAAATTTTTTTTGTGTTCATTGTACAGTTATATAATTTGCCTTTTTTGATAGTACTGTGGCTTGACTTTCAAAGTACACTTACTTAGTATTATCAAAATTTTTTTGGTGTACAGTTTATATTAATCTGAGATCAATTTGTAATACATCATATTAAGATCAGACACGTATGATATACAGTTGTAATATAGATTTTAGGACATGTGATGTACACGTTATATAATATTTATATGGTTAGCATATATAAAATTTTTT